GGTTCTCAGTGATCGACAACAAAGCAATAATTGTTCACACTGATAACACTCTGAAAATCAGAGTGATTTTAAGAACAGCAAGGGACTGTTAGAATTGAATGCCCTTTCTGCACTAGTTTGTAGAGTGGAACTAACATGGACAGTAAAATATCCCAGGAAGGAGTAGGCAATGGGCATGCTCCCTTTTGGGTAATGGGGGCTTTGGGGCACATTCAGAATGCTCACTTCCTTTGAATGGAACAGTTCTCCACTGTCCTCAAAGGTGATGTTCAGTCCAACAGGCAGAGAATGGGGAGAAACCTTGAGTTGTCCTACAGATCAAAAAACGGTGACCAGGACTTTACCACTATAAGCCTGGTAGGGCAGTAGAGCAAAGGAAGTAAGGAACTAACTGCAGAAAGGTGGATTTCTAGCTGCGTGTTGGAAGTAACTATGTATTGGCATTCCCGATCATTTCTTGTATGTCCATGGCTCACAGTGGTCAAAATAATTCTGGCTTTATTTCTCCCCAGCATGTATCTTTTGAAGGGGCGCTGTTGGATCAAACATGACGAGTATGGGGAAGTTTTGTAAATGAAACCAATAGAAATGAATCCAGGATTTTAATACTCAACTGGAAACTTTAGGGACAAATAGACATTCCCTTGCAGTGTCTGGCTTTGGAAGTGTGACGTAAGAGTACAAGTCAAAACAAAGATTCAGACTTAGTAAACTGGTGATTACATTTACTCCAGTGATGGGTGGGTGGGTGTGTGTGTGTGTGTGTGTGTGTGTGTGTATGTAACATCAGAACTTGCAAGAATGGAATTCTTCCCTGAGCCTATTGACTTCATCAGAACAGTGCCCCTGGATAGAGAGCAGGAAGAGCTACCATCTATGCATGTAAATCAGATCTTCCAAGAAATGTAATCAGCGCAGAAGTAATTTTGTCTGAGTAATACTAAATTAATCAAATCTGCTTTGGATCGTTAGCCCCCTGTGCTTAGTTTTATTTCCTGTTGGTCTGTACTAAACTAAAATGCTCCCAAAGTGGTAGCTCATCATTTTCCCACGCTTCACCTAGTGTTTAGTTAGATTCCTCTTGTAGAATTCTCGTCATGTTTGTAGTGACCGAGGCCCCTCGTTTGCACTGTGTAAACATAACAGCAAAGCGGCTAAGGTTGATCCAATCACACAAAAGCTTTGAACTCACTTCCCCTTGTATTAACCCAGTGATGTGAGAAGCATCTTATCAGCCAGCAGAGTCCAAGGTTGGAAGTGAAGTACATGCTTAACCACTTTGCAGATGGTCACTCCAGTCTCTGTGCAGCTGCCGGGTAGCTTGATGAGGCAACCTTGACCTGCACTCATAGCGACTTGGCCATGTCTTTGTACACACTAGAGGTATATTTTTCCTAGACATCTGCCACCTGAGTCAGCAGCAAAGCTGTTTAAAGAACTCTCATTAAAACTACTTGTGATCTAAGAAGAAAGAGACAAGGGAGAGAACATGTCACAGAATCAAACTACATAAAGGACTGACTGAGGAATCATCTCATGGAAATGATGGTACACAGGATGGACCAGGTTAATTCCTTAATTGAAAAGGGCACTTCCTTTAGCTCTCATTTCCTCCAGTGCTTAGGAAACAGTGCCCTTGCGATCTCTTTAGCAAATACTTACGTTGTGCATTATTTATGAAGCAAGATGTTCCACGTTGTCCCTGATTTTAAAGCCTGCTTGGAAACATCACTTCTCTAATCAGATTAATAGACAGTATCCGTTGAGTAAAGGGCTGTGATCTGTCAGTGTCTGTGGCACAATATAAAATGCTTATGATAATGATCAGTTGATGAGCGCTGTCATTAGGGTGCACACTGTATTTGAGAGTTTCCCTAGCTGCTTTGTTGAATTGAATCATGAAACTTTCTAGGGGAGGGAGTTTTGTGAGTTGTTAAGAAACTTAGCTGGACAGACTTTTGTAACGGAAAAAAAAATAGCCATTCAATGAGTCTGTGAATATCTGAGGTATGCAAACCCCTGAACTTGGAATCATTGTGGATAGATCTCTGAAAACATCCACTCAATGTGCAGTGGCAGTGAAAAAAGCAAATAGAGTGTTAGGAGTCACTAAAAAAGGGATAGAGAATAATGCAGAAAATCTCTTATTGTCTGTAAATACAACCATGGTATGCCCACATTTTGAATACTGCGTACAATGGGACCCCAATTACAGCTGGAGCCTCTAATAACATAAATAATAATTATAGAGGAGCAGGGTACAGAGGAGCAGATTACCTGTTGCCGTGGTTTCATTTGTAGATCAATCGCCTCTCTAGCCTACAGTGAGAAGATGGAGGCCAATTCTGAGCAAATAGCAAATGCCACCACATATCCAACAATTTAATTTACAAATGCATCCCAGAACTTGAGGGCTACAGTATAAAAGCTCTCCCTTAGAGTAAACAGTGGCTGATGCTGACGAAAAACACACACTGCTATGAAGCTGGATATAAACCTCAAGCTGGCTGTGAGTTCTATACTTGGGTTTCGCCAATCACGTAAAAAATATAAATGCCTCAGGCATTTACAGATCTAACATGGAATCACAGACAATTCCTTTGGATATCCTGATCTAT